CTCTGAGCTTTAATTCCCATCCCTGGTGGCCACGGGGTCACTGGGTGCTCTCCTGGCACTTGAGGGGGCTCAGTGGCCCAGTGGCCACAGGCCTTGTGCTCAGCAAAGGGCCCCGGGCACTTTCTGTGGCTGCTGGAGGTACTGCCAGATGACAGATGCTGCTGTCAGCAAGAATCCAGAGAGAAAGAGGGAAGGAAGACTGAGGCTCCATGGAGAGAGCCAGGGGGAAGCCGCCTCCCCCTCCACCGTGTCCTGACCAAACCGGGTCCTCCTGCAGCTCCAGACTGGGAAGGGCCCGGGGACAAACAGGGTGGAAGGCAGGAGCTGTAATTACCCCACGGCCACCGACCCCTGTCAGTGCTCCCTTCCAACCAGGGCAAAAAAAGGGGAAGAAAGGAAAAAGAAAATTCCCTAGGGAGGCTTTTCTTTTCTTTTCTTCTCTCTTTTGCCAGAGTTTTGGCCGTCCCTGGTCCCTGCCCGGAGCGGGAGCAGCCGGAGGGCACCGGCTAATCCTGCCTCGCAGGTCTGGGCCGGAGGCTTAGGGCTGGAATCTCTGGTATTCGGGAGCACAGGGACAGCAGTGCAGCAAAGTGGCTCTCTCTGGGGGCCTCTTGCTCCGTGGGACATTCCCAGGGGGTTGGGAGGCGTTTTTTCCTGGATTCTCCCTCTCCCTGCATGGCCCTGTGTGGGTGTGTGTGCGCTCTTCCCGTCACCTCCTGCCTCGCCAGGTACCCGGGATGGAGTTGCACAAGGATGGATGGATGGAGGTAAATGTGGCCAAGGCCCTGCCTGGAGGTGGCAGGGACAGCTCAGAGCCCCGATGCCAGCCCTGATCCCGCTCTCCCAGGGAACAAATCCCTTGCAGAGTGCTGGTTGTGGGCTGGGGGCACCATCAAGTGGCACCTCCAGAGGGTGAGCTCCAGCCCAAACTGCAGGCAGGGATTCTCCCAGACCGTTCTCTTCAACAAATGTGGCTCCATGGGGGTTCCAGAGCCCTGAAATGCTGCCCACGGAGGTGGAACCGGCTGGGATGGCACCACAGGGCAGCTCTGCAGCCGGGAGAGCCGGATGGGCTGGGAAAATCCAGCCCCACGAGTCCCGAGCCGTGGGAAAGCACCAGGGCCGTGGGGCACCAGTGACTCAGCCCCTTTTGCTGCAGGACTGGCCCCACTGCCCTAGGGCTTCATCTCTGTTATCCAGAGGGTAAACCAGGCCCAGTTTTCCCACCGTGGCCCAGCAGGGAGCATCCCCCCCTCTCCTGTTATTGACCCTCCAGGAGCATCACTCCAAATTTTGGGATGCAGATGCGATCCCCGCTGCCCCCGCGGGTGCCTGGCCCCCTCCCTCACCCCCCGGCTGGGCCGCTCCCGGCTCATCCCGCGGCACAGATAACAGCGTGGGCCGGGATCAACGGTCTCGGGCACAGCGGGGCCGTCACTACACATTAACCAGCTGTCCGATGGAGCAACGCGGCCCCGGAGCCAAGATCAACAGTCCCCAAAGCAAACTGGGAGCGGGGCCAGGCGGAGCCGGAGCCTCCCGACGAGCCCCCCCGGCTCCCCAGGGCCCCCCCCCCGGGCTTCACACCCACCCACCCCCCCAGTGCTGGGGCCGCCCGTGGCTCTGCAAGGATGAGCTGTGGGTAGGTGATGAGCATCCCCAGGGTGTCCCTGTGGCTCCCAGAGATGGAATTTTGAGGGGAGAGGGTGTGGGATAAGCTGGTTTGTGTTAGGGCGTGGGTGCTGTGCCCACGGGGACATGTGGAGGGTCCCCTGCCCCCTGAGCCCCTCTTCACCAGCAGCAGTGTCCTGGGAATGCTGAATCCCAGAGGTCTGGGCTGTCTCAGGGTCACGAGGACAGAGGCCTAACACGAGCCCCTCTCCACCACCAGCATCCCGGGGCTGCTGCATCCCAGTGTTCTGCGCTGCCCCAGGGTCCTTTGGGTGGACCCCAGCCCCTGAGCCCCCCTCCACCGGCAGCATCCTGGGGGTGCTGCATCCTGAGCTGCCCCAGGGAGCTTTGGAGGGATCCTTCCCCCTGAGCATCGCCCGCCTTGCCAACAGCCCCCCAGAAACACTGCAGCCCCATGTGCCCTGGGGACATTCAGAGGGACCCCTGCCCTCGAGCCACCCCTCCATCACCATCCCCAGGGGCTGCTGTGGCGGGAGACTCCAAAATCATCGGGTACTGACTGCTGAGCTGCTGGGGGGGAGATGCGGAGTCTGGGGGGCTCTGCGGGCCTGGGGGAACTCTGCGTGTCTGCAGGGGGGGCTCTGTAGGTCTTGGGAGGGGCTCTGCGGGTCTGGAGGGGGGCTCTGCCGGTCTGGGGGAGGTACTGCGTGTCCGGGGGGGGGTCCTACACCCGCAGCACCCCCTGTCGTGGAGCAGGGTGGGGGTCCCGGGGTGGGGGGGATCACCCCGTTTTTCGGTCTCCAGCCCCCCCCCCCCCCCCCCCCCCCCCCCCCCCCCCGCGGGGGCGCCCCCCCCCCCCCCCCCCCCGCACTGCGCCAGGCACGAGGAGGGGTTCACCCCCCCCCCACCCTGCACGGGCGCGGGGGCGGAGCTTCCCGTGG